CTGGTCGGGGATAACGCAGATCTGCGCTGTGAGCTCCCGAAGCTGGAGAAGCGTCTGCGCTCGACGGCTGAGCGTGTTCGAGCGCTGGAGAACGCTCTGACCGAAGCGAAGGAAGGAGCGATGATGGACCGGCGCCGGTACCAGCAGGAGGTCGAGCGCATCAGAGACGTCATGAGGCTCAGGAACCCGTTCAGGAGAACTCACGCTGCGCTCATCGGTCAGCGCGACTCCCATCATGCACTGGGGCGACACTTAAACCTGATCAATCTCAGATCGCTCATTTGTGGAGTAGTATATTCACTGAATTAGACAAAAATAAATATAAAAAAATATAAATATAAGCAATGCATAAAATATATTTAATAACAAAATTATAATATTATAAATTAATATATAATATACAATTTTAAAATTTTATAAATATTTAATATTTTTTAGTAATTTAATAAATAATACATTGAATATATTTAATAACATTTTATTATAAATAAATAATATTCTAAATATTATCAAATGTTATGATTTTATAAATTATTGATTAAATTACTAAAAAATATTATTAAATATAATACATACAACATTTTTAATAACATATTTATAATATTATAAATGAATATATTATATTGTAATATTATAGAAAATTGTATAATGATATTTAAAAATTATTAAATATGATAAGGAATACATTAAATACATTTAATAACATATTTATATTATAAATACATATATTATATTCTAAATATTACATTATACAATTTAGAATAATTTATTAAATAACTAAAATATTATTAAATATGAAAAGGAATACATTAATAACATATTTATAATATAAATATAAGTATATTACATTTTTATAATATTATAAATAATTTATTAAATTACTAACAATATTTTTAAATATTATACGTAATGCATTAAATATATTTAATAACATTTATGATATTATAAATACATGTGTTATATTATAAATATAATATTACTACATTTTAAAACTGTACAACTTATTAAATTACTACAGATATTATAAAACAGATCATATATACCGGTACATTAAAGCTGTTTAATAGAATTATAAATACATTTAAAATTATAATATTACATTTTATGGTTTTATTTTTTGCCGTCAGCCAAGCCGATTCGCCCAGGACATTATCCCGCCTCCTCACCTGCCAATCACATGTTCACGCGCAGCAGAGATCAGCCAATCACGTTCAGCAATGCGATGTTCAACAGCGCCAGTGAAAAACCCAAATCAACAGAGTCCAGTTTGACCAACAAGTGAGTGACAAACAGTGTGTATGGCTTATGCCCGACTGAACTGTGTTTTTACTACAGCTGTGTGTGTGTGTGTGTGTTCCTCATGTGAACAGGACGCAGTCAGCGAACGACACACACACGGACTCCACACACACACTGAACGGTAAAGACATTTCACGCCAACACAACTGATGCTGTACTTTTATGAGCTGAACCAAATGTGATTATTCAGAGTCCAGTGATTACAAGAGTTTCTGCATGGGACCTGATTGAAACATCCAGACTCTATAATGTGTTGATCATCACCGTTGTTTTCTATAAAATAAATGGAAATTTATATTTAATGCAGTACATGTAAATAAACTCGTATCTGAGCATCTTTAATGCATTATTTTGTGCACTTATTATCAGTATTTTAATGCATATTCATACTTATTTGACAGGAAATGGCAGAGATGTGAATGATAACAGGTAAGCGTGTTAATAACTGATGATGATGCTGATGCTTTCTAGTGTGTGTTTGATGATGATGCTTTCTAGTGTGTGTTTCAGCGCTCGCTCTACGTCTGTCACTGCTGACCAATCAGAGGAACGCATTCGTCAAGAGAAGCCCATCGCCAGCTAAACACACACACACACACACACACAGGTAACCTGACCGAGAACTACTGAAGTCACCTTTACAATAGCACTGTAAAAAAACAAAAACATGGTATTGATATTATTGTTTTAAATGCAAGCATATGCACAGTAATGGACAGTATTTGTATATAAAAAAAATAGCTTATTAAATTATAAAAAGAGTATAAATATATTATAATAAATTAAATATATTGAATAATATATATTACATTATTAATATAATAATATTATAACTTTATTTATTAAATTACTAAAGATATATTTAAAGTATTATCATATTTAATATTTTTAGTAATTTAATAAATTATGAAATTATATTTTATATATAGATTTATAAAATAACGTTATTAAATATAAGTATAATACATTACATATATTTAATAATATTCTTTAGTAATTTAATCAATTATAAGATTATAAAAACTTTAATATTTGTTTATTATAATATATGTAATTAAATCTATTTAATGTATTTACTTACCATATTAACAAATATTCTAGTACTTTAATAAATTATTTATAAAAACATATATGTCAATTTTATTTATAATATTATATATTTATTTATAATATAAATATGTTATTAAATATTGTAATTATAATACATTGAACATATTAAATAAAATATCAACATGTTACATATATATATAAATATAATTTTATTTTAATTTAAGTTATATTGATAAATATGACAATGCATATATTAATGCATAAATATATATTATAATATTACATTTTTATATTTGTATAAATATTGTAGTATTTTAATACATTATTTATAAAAATATATATATTTGTCAATTTTATGTATAATATATATTTATAATATTATAAATATGTCACTAAATATTGTAATTATAATACATTGCATATATTTAATAAAATATCAACATATATTACATTATATATATATATATATATATATATATATATAATTTTATTTGAATTTAAGTTATATTGATAAATATGACAATGCATAACAATTATAATTTTATTATAATATTACATTTTTATATTTGTATAAACAATTACTAAAAATAATATTAAATATGAAAAGTAATATTTACCATGTTGTTTCTGTTTCTCTCCAGGCGACCTGTACTTCTGAATTTTCTTCTCTGTATATTTATATATGCATGTTGCCTGCAGTTCCAGTGATCACACACACACGTCACACACACACACACACACACACACGTCGAGCTGCATGAAGTCCAGCGATGATGAAGAGCGTTCATTCTCACGGGTCATTCTCAGAAAACAGCAGCAGACTTTCAGGAACACTTTAATTTATCGCTTTCTATTAAACTATTACCCATAATCCTTCAGTCTTTCTATATATTAGTACCAATAGTCATTTTCTAACCAATAATAATTTCTAATCATCATTTGTTAAAGGGGCAGTGTCCCTATATAAGAGAAAATGCTGAATTAAAATGCATTGATAAATGAGGAAATGCTAATTAGCAGATATAATAATGAAAAACAAACAAAATATCAGATAAAAGTCAGCGTTTCCTGAGAACGACCCAAAAGCCGACCGACTGATGCCGTTCCTCGTCGTCTACATTAGTGTCAGGTTATGATAATATGATGGGATATTTTTATGTAGCTGTAACTATTTTTATACTCATATTTAGATTTGTATGCATTATTTATGTTTCAGTATCGTTGTATAAAGAAAACAACTTTTAGTTTTTATTTAGTTAAATTACTTCTAGCTATAATAAACTAGAGAGTATAAAATTAAAAATAAATTAAAAAGGTAATGGCGACTTTTTCTCCCACAATTTTGAGTTTAAATCTTACATTTCTGAAAAGAAAGGTCAGAATTGTGAGATAAAAAGTTGAAATTACCATTTTAATTTGAATCTGAAGCAGAAACAAGCTTCCATAAGAGAGATGTGTCACGTGACCAGTTTGTGACATTAAATATTTAAGTGTAAAAGTCAGATAATAAAAGATTAATTAAATATATCTAAGTAGATCGGATTGATCCTAGAATCAGGATTTTATACTTCATAAATGGAGTTGAGAAATTATTATCTTGACATTTTATAAATTCAGATGTGTGAGAAACAACAAAAACACATGCAGACACACTCACACACACACACACACACACACTCTTAAACACATGAGCACACAAACACACACTGATGCACATGCACTCTCTCACACACATACAAACACACACACTCATGCACACACAAACACACGCAGACTTAAACACGAGCACACAGACACACACACACACACACGCACAGACACACACACACACACACACACACTCTCACACACACACACACTCAGAGACCGAGAGAGAGCTGTGTGTGTCAACTGCTCATATCACAGGTCAGAACACACACTCACACACACAGACAGACACACACACACACACACACACACACAGACAGACAGACAGACACACACACACACACACACACAGACAGACAGACAGACACACACACACTCAAAAACATGAGCGCACACACACAAACACACACACACTCAAACACATGAGCACACACACATGCATGCACTCTAACACACACACAAAGCATGTACTCACGCACACACTCTCTCTCTCACACACACACACACACACGTGATCAGACACAGTCACATCAGTCAGTGTGAACTCTGATCAAATACTGGCACATTCATCTGTGTGTGTGTGTGTGTGTGTATGGTCAGGTTGCTTCGAGTCTGACCTTTGACCTGTCAACACGTCCTGATCTGCCAGTCAGGGCGAGAGAGTCAGGTTATGAGAGACATATATTCTGATAACACTTCTGTAAGTGATTCTGCACCTTTGAGTCTTGTACAGTAAATCGTGCAGCCAGGATTAGGTTGATTAGATAATGCATTCATAAAGATATAATAATGCATAACAATATTCATATATGTGGGCCGCTTTCTGACCGTCTCTGCCTTTAACTGGGCGAATACAGTTATACGAGATCTCATGTTTGTTTAAAAGAGATTCTGTGCATCATCTGGATAAATGATGGACTAGAGGATGTGTAATAATTTCCCTTTCTGTGTTTGGTTTCTGTAGAGCATGATGGACATGTAGAAAAACTTTCCTTTAAAACTGTTTCAATAAAGAGAATCTGATTCATGAACGTCAGTGTTTTCTGAATGTACAAAATATAAACTCTTTACCGTAACGTGAAGAATCCATACAATCTTTACTGTCCACAAAAGGTTCTTTACTTTAGAAAAAGCTTCTTTAGATTATTAAAATGTTCTTGACTCCAAGAAAACGATTCTCTTTGTTATTTGACGCTGTGAAAACTCCCTTATGGAGCAGATAAATATGAAAAAAAGTATATAATGATCAAGTGTTCCCCAAAAATATAAAATCACAAATGTGTGAGTCATTCATTAGATCTAGTTTCCATATCTACATCCAGGGCCTGAAATTAACATTCGCCAAAGCCAGACGAGAGTAAAAAATCTGTGTTGGCAAATATATTTATCGGTGTCAATCGCGGTAATATTTTTATGAATTATGAGCGCGCGAACACTGAAACTCTTTCACGTCGTCTCGTGCTTGAAAATGCCTGAATTAACAAGTATCCTCATTATCATTGGGTCTCATTCATGAAACACGAGCACAACGAATTTGTGTGTGAATCGTGTGTAAAGTGGTTCTGGCGTAAATTTTCGGATTCATTAAAATGTTCGTATTTTCCAAATGTTTAACATCTGAACGTTTTGCTCATTAATAACTAAGGCTGCTTTTTAATTCACCTTAATCGGGGACATATTTGCACAGCATTTTGAAAAAATATTATATATATATTATATATTTTGAAAAAATATTATATATAAAATATTATATATAATATTTTATTATATATAAAATATTATATATAATAAAATATTTAATATAATATTATATTAGCAGATGAAACTCCAGTAACTGCATCTGTAATGCTGACAAGCTTCCTTTATTTAGGACCCGATTCGCCACTATGTACGCTTGAAAATAAATGTGGTGTTTTGAACGAACTTCTGATAATAAAACTTCGATTTCTGCATCTGAGAAATGTTTCTTTTTCATTCGCTTTTGAGAAGACATGTTGAAATCCTTCGTTTGGTGTCATAATATGATGCCCATATATAGTTGTCAGTCGGATTTAATGGGCGGGATTTATGGTAATTGAGAATGAACGTGCACGCGCGCCCCATTTACGACTGATTGGAATTCATTAACACACACACACATTTCACGATCACATCTGACGTTTACGAAGTATTTGTGAATCAGGAGAAGAGTTTTCGGGAAGGTCTCTTTACGCGCAAATCACTCGCATATTTACTCGTATATTTACGAATGTTTCATGAATGAGACCCATAGTCTGTATTTTCTTAAGTGAACATAAACAGTGAAAGAAATCGCTTGTGTATCAGACTGTTGGATCAGTGCATTCACTCTTAAAGTGACAGCAGCCTAATAAACCTGATGCCGTTTGTGACCCTAATGTTAAAGCAATGTTAATGTTTTAATATGAATATGTTCACCTTAAAGGTTAGTTCACCCCAAAATGAAACTCTGTCAGTGTGTAAGCAAGTCTACAAGCGTCTGGCTGACAACCAAAACAATCGATTTAATCTGTAATTAGCTCACGCAATCATGCGCATATACTCGTGTATATAGTACAGTATAGTGACTGACAGCAGAGTGTGTTCTGTTATAAGTGGACACAGGGTCAGTAGAGCAGATTCAGTGTGTACACAGATCAATGCCGGTGTTGAGTGAGGACACTGAAGAGCAAAGCTCATATAAACACACGTTCAGTCTCCGCGAGCGGGACAACACCACTGGAGACCCGCCAACGACCCGAACCTGAGGGCGAGCCGGTCCGCCAGCGCTTCAGGCTTCCGACGATCATTACGGTTCATGTTCAGTGATTCAAATCAGGTACTGGGGATTTTATCATTTGTAATAAATCATTTTGAAATATCTGTCGGGTCATATTTCACTTAATAAATAACTAAATAAAAGGAAAACATATTTTTGTTCACAGAAAGCCTATTTTAGGAAAATTTTATTCTTTGTATTTTGATATTATATTCATGACAATTACATTTCCCTTCCAAATTCTAATACAGAAATAATGCTATATTTTAAGGTGTATGATTTATTCATCATGGTGCTGCTATTAGCAATACTTTTGATTTGTAATAATTATATTAAAGTATTTTTACTGCAAAAAATATCAAATAAAATAAATTATATATATAGTAGTGCATTTATACATTTTCATATACATCTATATAATTTTAGCATTGCTTTTATTTGTAATAATTGTATTAAAGTAATTTACTGCAAAAACACTATTACAGTAATAAGACTAACTAATACACACACACATATATATATATACACATATATTAATGCATTTTCTTTTTTATGCAATTTTTTTTCTTAGATTTTTTGGGTGAAATATGATCTAGACATGTTTACATGAAATTCATTCATAAATCCCTTCTTAGGAACACTTATAAAGTTATTGTGTCTTTACAATTAAAAAGCAAAGCAAATCTAGCAATCAAAGCATTCATAAATTCATAAAGTAAGTGATTCATAGGTATTAATTTCTTCATGAAGTGAGTTTTTCAACAAGTGACATCTGATCCGTATCTGCGTCTGTCTTAGCATCATCTCCAACATCATTTATCAGCCATAACCATAAATGTGTAATAATATTCATTATATCTCTTTAAATGTGTGTGTTCATGACACTGAGGCCATGTGACTGCAGAAGGAGATGCGTTTGCTAAACGTAAAGTACAATGAGGGTTTCTTTCGGTCATATCAACGTTGTGTGACACGAACGGTCAAAGATTAGCGGTGTTTGCATTCAGAGTAAACTAGCTTCAGTGAGCAGGGCTTATACTATAGCACAGGTTACTCCAGGTCAACATTTCAGCAGGGTTCAAAGGTCAGATGATGAGATGCATTAGACTGAACCAGCATCATATAAACCTTCTGCAACCATCATCATGTTTTCATGCATCTGAATATAAAACTCCATCAGGACTGTGATCGATTAAAGCGTCATGTCAACACACACCTCCAGACACACTCGAGGCCGAGGAGCCACACACACCGAGAACGGCTCGGTCACACAGCGTGAGTTTACACTGATCCTTCTGTCAGGACTTTATTCTGCTCAGATAATGTAAAGCACAGCTGTATTGTGTGTGTGTGTGTGTGTGCAGAGGAGAATCACACGAGAACGAGAGAGATGACACAGAGAAACCAAGACATGGAGGTAAGACACTTCACTGCCGAAAACAACATGATCCTGCCTAAAAAAGAAAGAAAGAAAGAAAGAAAATGTATTTTGGTGTGTGTGTGTGTGTTGATAATGCCTTTAATGTAAGTGGATTCAAATAAAAAAGTATTTAATAGTTTAATTCATATATTTATTATATATACTGTATGTATAAAATATATAATATTTAATAAATTATATATATATATATATACACACACACATTACATTTATTCATTTAGCAGAGGCTTATATCTAAAGCGACTTACAAATGAAAACAATAGAAGCAGTGAAACATATATGTGTGTGTGTGTGCTAAAATTAAAGGCATCAAATACCAAATAAATTGTTTAAATTGTTTTGTATAAATTGCATTAAAAATGCAAAGGTCTGCACTCTAAAAATCTTTTTATTCTTGCCAGGAAATATTGAAATCAATCAACATCTCCTGTCAAGAATAAAAAAAAATTTAATAAAAAAAAATCTAAAAATAAATAAATTAGTGGTAAATCACGATTAATCAATTCTAAAATTAAAGTATGTTTATATATTATTATATTAAATTATACTTATTATATTTATATTATTAAATATATATATGTGTTTATTTGTACACACACACACACACACACACACACACATATATATATATATATATATATATATATAAATATAAACCATAACATATATACAAACATATATTATATAAACACAAACTTTAATTTTAGAATCGATTAATCAATTTGACAGCACTAGAATAAATAAAATCCCAGTGGTCCCAACATTTATTTTAAAGAAAATATATATTCATTCCTTTTTTTAGATATAATAATTAAACTATTAAAGTAATTCTAAATATTTTTTCTCATATTCGCAAAAAAAAAAAAAATTATTTTAGTATTGCATATTGCAGTATTTATAGACCATGGTAATTATATGGTAAATTCTGACCGTATAAAACTGTTTTCTGATCAGAGGATGAAAGAGGCGGTGATCAGACATGTTCAGTCTCGTCTGAATGAAGTGCTGGAGCGAGCGCTCACTGACTCAATCCAGTCTCTGTCCACACACACACAAACACACACCGAGCAGACGGGAAGCACCAACAACAGGTGAGTGTCTGTGATGTCATTTCCTGCCAATGCAGAAGGTGTTGCGTGCTTGAATAAAAGTGTTTCTGCACATGTACTTTGATTTCCAGGCACAAACTGGAGCAGGGGAAGGTGTTTATAGCCAGATGCTCACTGCTGGAGTAAGTATTACTGACGTTTATGAATCAATGAGAAAAATGGGTGAAAAATCCTAACCACCCTAGCAACGCCCTAGCAACCCACCCCCAAGACTCACAGCCTAGTAATAATTTGACAATTTAAAACTTCAAAACATCCTAAATGCCAAAGGTAAAAGGTCACGACTTTGTAAACAATTTCACAAAAATATTAAAACTGTTCTTGAAAATGTCACAAAGTCTGAGAAAACTGTAATTGTCATCAGTTTACTGTAATATTCTTCCTCCCCAATGAGAGTCTATGGCAGCCCTATGAACCGCAAGTAGGAAAATAATGAAAATTGGCACACTTGTAGTGATGGTAATGAACAGTAATAAGACCGACTTTTGGGTCTCTAGGACCAACTCTATAGCGCCACCATTAGTTCAAAAATTCACTTTTCAAATGGTTATAACTTTTAAATGTTTTGTTCTAGAAAATGTTGCCATCTTAATGTTGACTCAAAATTGGTTAAGAGGCAGTATCTTAGCAAAACTTTGATCAATTGGAACGAAACTTGGTACACTTCATTAGAACCATGATCTGAGGGTCCATGCCAAATTTGGGAACAGCGTCACCTACAGGTCATGAGAAATGAAAAATCATAACTTTTGAACAGTTAGTCAGAAAATAGTGACCTTGGTGTCTATGGATTCCTCGTCTCATGCCCAATCCGAGGATAAACCATCGGTCGGCCATTTTGAATTTTGTCATAAATTACATCTTTTAAAGATGTAATTTCTGCCCGACCGCAAGAGAGACTGTGGCCAGAAGAGGTGCAGAAGTTGCATCTGTTCCAGACATGGTGTCGTTCTGAGAATAACCGAATCTGAACTTTTCAAATATAGCATTTATCTGTTATTCGTTGCACAAAATTGAACTACTGAACCTCGGAAGCTAAGTGAAAGTGTGTTGTGTTTTAAAAAAATGTTGGTTCTGTTTTTCTGGCTCTGCACTGCTGTTGCTTCCCCTTCGGGGCTTGCAGCTATTTTTATTATTATTATTTTAACCAAAAATGGCACAAAGTGTTCCTCTCTCTCCAGTGAGTTATTTGAGATCAGTCACATCAGGACCATCTACCACATGTTCATCGCAGCTCTATTCCTGTTCATCATGAGCACTTTAGCAGTGGACTACATCGACCAGGGCAGGTGAGAGTGTGTGTGTGAGAGAGAGTGTGTGTGAGTGAGTGTGTGTACAGTGTGTATACGTGTGTGAGAGCCTGACAGTGAGTGTGTGTACAGTGTGTATACGTGTGTGTGTGAGAGCCTGACAGTGAGTGTGTGTGTATTTCAGGCTGGTTCTGGACTTTGATCTGTTTTATTACGCGTTTGGTCAGTTGAGTACGGTCGTCTGGGCCTGGACGCTCATGTTGAGCTACACTCTGCTCGGGCCGTACCACGTTCTGCGGGTCTGGGGCGAACGGGCCCTCAGGAGCCGCTGGAGGACGTGTGTGTGTGCGCTCACGCTGTGTGCTGCGCAGACGAGCATGCTGGGAATATTCCCTGTGTGTGTCGTCCTGCATTACCAGCTGCCACCCGCATCTCGATTCATCATCATATTAGAACAGGTACTGGGAATAAACAATCGACAGGCTATACTTAATCTACTTTATTATGAAATTACATAAATATGTAATGCATAAACATGTAATTTAATAATTAAATTAAATAAATTATATAAAAAAAATAATGTATATATATATATATATATATATATATATAAATATAAAAAACACTAAATTTTTCAATGTTTAATGTTTCAATTTCTATATACAATTTATATATAGTTATTTAATATATAATCTACATGATAATTAAATGATATATAATAATCAGGTATATTATCACAAATAAATTACATATATAATTGAATGCTTATTAAATAAAAACAATAGAATATATATATATGTATATACATATATATAATTTTATATTACATAATTATATATTAAATAATGATAATCATTCAACTATATATATATATATATATATATATATATATATATATATTTCTAATATAATATTTAATGCATTATATAATATAATATTTAATACATAATTACATCAAATACTATGAAGATACAGATAGAAGTTTAATAAATGAATGATTAACAAACTGGGTTTTAATAATAATGTGTCAATAATAATATAAATAATGATTGTCATTAAATTATATATAATATATTTTTATAATCTACATAATGAAATGAAATTTATAACCAGAAATACATTACACTAATTTTTATTTAACAATCATTAAATTATATTAGACTAATATATATCGTTTAATGATTATCATTATTTGATATATAATTATTTTATATCAAATTATGAATAATATACTATATTTAATACATGATTACATCAAATACTATGAAGATGGAAGTTTAATAAATGAATGGTTAACGAACTGGGTTTAATAATATTGTGCCAGACTCGAAGCGATGCCCAGTGGTTTCTGCCAACGTACACTTGAGGTTCAGGATCCAAAGTCTGCTGCCCTTTGCCAAATTAAATAAATCACTCAATTATTGGCATCATATCATGCATATCAAACCAGACGTGCTCAAATAAGGGGGTCAGAGGTCAGAGGTCACCGGGCTACTGGACACAACTGGGCAGAAACAGTCTGACTGTGGAGATAAAACGTTGACAAAATAATTCCAGTTCTCATGGCTACGTGGAAGCGATAAATAATTATGTATTATAAATTGTAAGTAATTTGTTGAGGTCAATTTGTAAAGAAAGACTTCACGCCTGCGCAGATACATATTCAAACGCATATCTATAGGGCAAACACGTGAAACGCATGTACATTATCATTATTATTTTAAAAAATCCACTCTTATTATAAACTTGTGTCCTGACACGTTAAACCTTTTCCTCACATTTGTTGTTTCTGAATGCTTGTATACAGAATTAATTTCCCTGACTGCAGATTTATGAGTGCAAGCTTCACATTTATAAGAATACTTCACCTAAAAAGGTCATCATTTCCTCGCCCACATGTTGTTCCAAACCGCTATGACTGTCTTTCTTTCTTCTGTGAAACACAAAAGGAGAGATTTAGTAGAAAGTTCACGCTGCACTTTTCCACTCAATTTTAATGTATAGTTAAAACGTTATCAAATTGATTCCAGTTCGTATGGATCCGCGGAAACGTCAAAAAATTCTGTATTATGCAAGTAATTTGGTGTAAAGAAAGATTATGCGGCTGCGCACATACATATTCAAACACGCACATCTATAGACCTTATGCACCAGAGAAACGTGGGCGCCGTCATCTTTAGAATATTGTCTTTGAACTTCCGTTTTTGCGGTCGCTCTGTATATTTCTATGGCATCGCTGTCCAGGAGTAATTAGCTGGTGAAGTGGATTTACTTATTGTAGAGTTAACAAAAGTTATCATGAGCATTGTAATGTTTATCATAAGCATTGTAAAGCAGATGTCTTAACAAATGTCGACCGGGACATTTTTTACGAGCAGTTCATTCATACCTATGCAAGATTGCTGTGAAAATACAGACCGGAAGTCAAAAGACAACGAGCGCAGCGCTGAAAAGGGGCGGGGCTTTACTGTCTATGGACTAAACACGTTTTTGAAGTCAGTGTTGGGAAAGTTCATTTTCTACATGAACTAGTTCAAAGTTCAGTTCACAAATTTTAAAATGAACTAGTTCAGTTCATAGTTCATACTTCAAAAAATTAACTAGTTCATAGTTCTTTTTTTCCCTATGTTGCTGCAAACTATTTTTATTTTGTTTTAATTATCGCCACCACAGCCCATATATAACCACATCGACGGGCAAAGTTTGCACAGAAATGTAAGATTTTTCCCATCCTCACCGACCTTGTCATACGACGCCTCCTCGCTCGCTGCTTTGTCGACTACATGCTGCTTTTTGTTTTGATGACGCATGCGGCGGACGCGATGCGACGCTGCTGGCTGGTGTTGCCAGATTGGGTGTTTTTTCGCTACATATTAAGGCCTGTTTACGTGTGTTTTAGCCGGGTTTTCGCCTGGAAGGCTCTATAGAAATCTGGCACCCTATTGAACGAAGTTAAACTGAGAGAGCGTGCGTTCACAAACACCAGAATGAACGCGTTCACAGTAACGTTCATCAGGCAGTAATTCAGTACGTTCAGTTCACGTTCGCCCAAAATATGAACGAGTTCATGAACTATCGTTCATTGAACGCGTTCAGGCACAACACTGTTTGAAGTTTACATGGAGATGATAATGTTTTCAAAACTTGTACCTTGTTTCAAAGTTTGCGTTCTCGAGCACCAAACGCTGTTGTGTGCAAATAAACGTCCAGAACACATCAAAGTTTTTGTCTTCAGTTAAACGGTGTCGTGTTAGCGGCCCCTAAGTTAACTAATGATCTTTAGCTGGACAATAACTTTATTCTAGAGCTGCTGTAAAGCCTAAACTATCTCTGCTACTGTAATCTCCTGTTATCACTGTAAAGCTGCTGTGAAACTCTGTATTGTTAAAGCGCTGTATAAATGAAGGCCATAGACTCGACTAACTCCTGCTTTTACTCCACAGATCAGACTTGTGATGAAGAGTTACTCGTTTATCCGTGAAACCGTCCCAGCCGTCCTCAAAAGCTCAACACTGAAGGGTGAGAGCTTCAACTCTCGACTGCAGATTCTTTGTACAGTCACACCAAACATTATCCAGACTCCAGATATCAGTTTTCATATTGTTTTACCAGAGTGTGCAGGACACTATAGTTCACTAATGTAAGTAGGAGAGCAAAATAAAGTAAACTGTGACATATTATACCCAATAATTCTTCATACAGTGACTACCAGTGACATTTGGGAGCAAAAATGATTCCTCCACTTTGAGCTGATCATGTTTTCTTCAGTGTGTTTTCTGTAATTGCTAATGCTCTTTTTACACACAGACTGAACAACATGAAGCATTGCTTGGTCACTGGTTGAGCTAAACTGGTATTATGTAATTGTGTAGTTAAATTTAACAGCTGACAGATATTCAACATAATTCATGTGTGAGAGTCTAACAGAAGGACGGACAAAACCAGTCAAATATCAACTCATTTAATAACTCTGAGTTCTGCTCATATTTTATTACCATTTTCTAAACTATAGCGAATAAACTGATAATGTGAGAAATGTTGAAGGTGTGTGAATAATGTTGGTTTGTCTGACAAAAAAAAAAAAGGAAATAAGAACAGCTTTTATTTGACATTCGGCTATATTATATTAAAAAGAGCATTCGAGAGAAAACACATTAGGCAAGTACGACGCGATGACGTCATTAATATGCTAATTTACGCATGACGTCATCTAGCGACATTTAGCGAAGACGTTAGCTACTTTCCTATACCTAACAAATATAGAGAAATACACTTAAAAGTACTTCATAACATTTATGTTAGTAATTACACTTTATCAAAATTTATGGAGATTGATGAGAATTGTTCATTTTGTCTGAATCAGCCAGAAAAAACTCTACATCTTTTTTTTTTAATGTCATCATTCAAAAAAAATTGAGGAAAATTTAACTATATATTTTCAACGGAAATCAGGTCATAATTGTGTATTAACACCCAAACATGTTATCATATATTTTGAGTAAAAAACTACGTCTGTAAATTTTATGATTAATCTTATGATTTTATTAGGTAAATTTTACATTCATAAGAGTAAATTTAATAATTCTAACCCTTGTTTGAAGGTTTTTTTGGCTGATTTTATGTTGTATATTGAGTCTCTTAAATGTATAGATAATAAGAAATGCACTGTATTTGCCAAAGAATTGAAGATAATTGAACAGATGTTTCTCTTTTTCTTCAATACTGATTACTGGTTTGTAACTTTCTCGTAGCTATTATATTATACAAATAGTTAAACTTAGCCCCTTTATTTAAATTTAATTTTTTATATATTTCTTTTCATTTTTTCTTTATATTTTTTAGTTTAGTCGCTTACTTATTTATGTTAAACTAACTTTGGAAATTCTTGGATTGTTGTCTTTTTGGATGTCATGTTATTGTTTGTGTGTTATGTATGTCTAATGTCTAAAAAAAAAAAAAAAAAAAAAGTTAGCTACTTTCCTTTGAAAATAGTTGGCAACACTGGCTGACAGATATTCAACATAATTCATGTGTGAGAGAGTCTAACAGTAGGACGGACAAAACCAGTCAAATATCCACTCATTTAATAACTCTTGTCATATTTTATCACCGTTTTCTAAACTGTGATACTGTGAGAGATGTTGAAGGTGTGTGAATAATGCTGTAACCCTGATCTGTGTTTCCACAGATAAATCTCTGCGATATCCGTCACTCTACAGTTATTTGTACTTCTTGTTTTGCCCGACGCTGATCTACCGTGAGGAGTATCCGCGGTAACGCCTCTCGCTCACCGCACAACTGTATTACACACTTACCAATCAATATCCTGATGACCTCACTGTTTACTGTTCCCTTCAGAAACCCGAACATCAGATGGAACTACGTTTGCATGAACTTTCTGAAGGTGGGATTGACCAACCGCTCACTCACATATTACACACAAACATTACAATCAAAAATCAGAAATTGCATTTTGCATGAAAAACTGTAGCATTATTTTCATGATAATTACACTCCTCGATTCTTATTACTTTTATACAGTGATGAAAATCATCAAAAACATATTTTTTAAATGGCATGAATGCAATTTAGTATACTGTCATCTGTACTTGATGATTTTAAAAATATATTTATATATTTAAATACATAAATGAAAGCACTCTCTTGGCTGATGTCGGTGTCGAGACCAAAATATGAATAAATATAATAAATAAAATAAATAAAAAAGGTCTGTAGATGATCTTATACTCCGCCTGTCAGTATTATCAGGTGTTTGATTGACTAATTATACAAATTATAAGTTAGAGTATATTTAACAAATAATATAAGAATTTAATAAAAATATTAATAAAATTTAAAAAGGACATTAAAGGTATATTTAACAAATAATATAAAAATTAAAATATTAATAAAATTTAAAAAGGACATTAAAGGTATATTTAACAAATAATATAAAAATATAAATACATTTTAAAAAGAACATTAGTTTATTTAACAAATAATATAAAAATATAAATAAATTTTAAAAGGAACATTAGTTCATTTAACAAATAATATAAAAATATAAATACATTTTAAAAAGAACATTAGTTTATTTAACAAATAATATAAAAATATAAATTAAATTAAAAAAGGACAGAGTATATTTAACAAACACATTTCACTTAAAAAATAATTCTGTCATAATTCTGCTTGGCCACGACACACAGCCCTAGTCTGGTAGTGAAGCGTTTGGTTTGTTCCTCACGCTCGTGTTCCTCTGCCAGATCTTGGCCAGTCTCTTCTACCTGTACTTCATACTGGTGCGCTTGTGCATCCCAGTGTTCAGGAACAACAGCCAGCAGCCGTTCAGCTCACGCTCCCTCATCCTGATGCTCTTCCACGCCGCCTTCCCAGGTGCACACACACACACACACACACACACACACACACACACACGCTCCCTCATCCTGATGCTCTTCCACGCCGCCTTCCCAGGTGCACACACACACACACACACACACACACACACACACACGCTCCCTCATCCTGATGCTCTTCCACGCCGCCTTCCCAGGTGCACACACACACACACACACACACACACGTTCCCTCATCCTGATGCTCTTCCACGCCGCCTTCCCAGGTGCACACACACACACACACACACACACACACACACACACACGCTCCCTTATCCTGATGCTCTTCCACGCCGCCTTCCCAGGTGCACACACACACACACACACACACACACGTTCCCTCATCCTGATGCTCTTCCACGCCGCCTTCCCAGGTGCACACACACACACACACACACACACACGCTCCCTCATCCTGATGCTCTTCCACACCGCATTCCCAGGTACACACACACACACACACACACACACGTTCCCTCATCCTGATGCTCTTCCACGCCGCCTTCCCAGGTGCACACACACACACA